CAGAGGATTCAGGTGTTCGATTTCGACATCAACATCAACGTCAAAGAAAGAGATGGATGAGTTTGAGTTTTTTTTTTTTTTTTTTTTTTTTTTTTGTCTTTTTTTCCTTTTACCTTCAAGCAAACCCAGCTCGTGGGTTTGTGATGAACCCAAGCGCCTGGGTTCATCGCGAACCCAGGATGAACCCAGCTCGCGCGATTGGGTTCGCGACTGGGTTCGCGACTGGGTTGGCAATGAACCCAGTTCGTGTGATTGGGTTGGCAATGAACCTAGCTTGCGCCTGAGTTCGCGACATACCCAGGCACAAGCTGGGTTCTTAATCTCTGCCAAGTCGCGAACCCAGGCGTGGGCTGGGTTCTCAATCCCTGCCAAAAAAAAGAAAGCATGTTCTTCTCAAATAAACAGCTCTAGAAACATCCAACAACAGAAGCGGAAATGAACCTAAGAGCAGCAAAAATTTCAAGAAATTGAAAATTGAGGATCTGAAATTCTAGCACTCAATGTCAATGGCCTAAACTAGAAAATCAAACCGATCACATCCATCCTTCGATCACTTGGATGAGATGAAAAGCACATTATTAAATTCCAAACAATTAGCAGTAACTGGAAAATTTCACTACAATTACAATGTCATTATCATTCCAAACCAAATCCATCCATATCGAAACCAATCAACTACTACGTCCTCCCCATTGATCTAGAACACGAGCTCACAAAAAAACGAAAGACATGAGAACAAACAGAGAAGAGGAAAGCGAGACTGACCAGAGCAACAAAGGAGACAAGGGCATAAGCAGCACAGACAAGGGCATAAGCAGCACAGACAACGTAGAAGATACCATCCTGCCACTAAGTAGAGTCGTTGATCTCATCCCACCAAGAGGAAACGAGAAGTCTGAAATCGAGGATCTAAAACCCAGAAGCTTGGGTTCATCATGAACCTAGGAACCCACGACGAACCCAGGCACCTGGGTTCATCGTGAACCCGTGAGCTGGGTTCCTTGCGAACCCAGGCTCTTGGGTTCCTTGCGAATCCACGCTAGGTTTGTCGCGATGAACCCTGCTCGTGGGTTCGCGATGAACCCTGCTCGTGGGTTCGCGACGAACCTAGGAGTTGGGTTCGCGATGAATCCAGGCTCGTGGATTCGTCGTGAACCCAGCTTATGGGTTCGCGGTGAACCCAGCTTATGGGTTCGCGGTGAACCCAGCTTATGGGTTCGCGGTGAACCCAGCTTATGGGTTCGCGATGAACCCAGGCTCGTGGGTTCGCCTAAAGGTAAGAAAAAAAAAAAAAGAAAAAAAGGGAAAAAAAGGCTAAAGGAAGGAGAGGATAAGGGGAAGAAAATGAGGGTAAATTGGTAATTAAAGATAAAAAATTTGGCCATGTCATCGAGTTTTGCCAGATGGATTTCACACATAATTTAAGTACAGAAAAAAAATAAAATTTTTCGTTAATTAACTTGCCACATCAGCCAAAATTTAACGGAAAGACTAAAAAGGGGTCGGATTTGTGAACAGTAAAGACCAAAAAGGGGATTTTTTCGGTACAAGGACTAAAAATGGGCTTTTTCCTATAGTAGAGGGACCAAAAAGGGTATTTAACCAAATTTTTTTTAGGGATTAATAACATATTTCAAGCCCTAACTATTGCATTTTTAGTTGTCCCCTAAACTACCTCTTTAATTAGTGTACATTTTTAGTTGTTTCCTAATTATTTCATTTTTAGTATAATTAAAGAGGCCAAAGGGGCTATTTGCACCCTCCACTTAATTGTTTTTCACGGTCAACACCTT